GTGTGCATCACTTCGTATTTTGAATATCCGAATCTGCTCTCCGAATTCGGAGGTCTGGCTTGCTCGCTGAGCTTCATGTCGAATTCGTCCACTCAGTGAGCAGAGGTCCATGTCAGACCAACTCAAAGCACACACACACACACATGCTTGCGTGGTCTGTGTCTAATTGCCAGCTGTCGTATTGTTGGACCCTTTTATTCTATTTTTGTTTGTTTGGAACCAAGTAAGGCAACTTTTAGAAAACATGTAATGCTGGCATGTGGTTCTTAACGTTATATGGTAATAACAGTCCCTGTTTGCTTTCTGCTTGCAAATTCGGGGTACTCTACAGATAAAAATTTGTGACATGGGGCTAACATATTTGTGCATTTTGCTGTCGAAACACATTTGTATGACTGTTAGCTATGGTTACCGTTTGCATTAAAAGTAGTTTGTAATAGGTCCGTACACGAACCGCATTGTCGAAGCTGTCATTGCGTTACGTAAATGTCCGTAGCTCGCAGTACTTTTTGTCCACGTAAACCATTAACTTCACAGAATGCCTTGAGAAGCTCATATGCTTTGTGAATTTCTCTGGGTATGTCTAGCCAAAAATAACGTCCGTTAACACCACCTCGTCGAAAATTGACTGCTTTGGCCCAGAATCCAAGGGCCGCCCACATTGACTTGTTCTGGCACCGGCCCTTCCATCCACTAAATTTTCATGATAAACAGGTCTTTTTTACTGTACTATTCATGTGTGAGGCCAACCTCATTACTTCCTTCCCTATTACCTCAAGTACTAATTAAATTAATTCCTGCACTTATGCCAATCATGCTAATTTTTTACGTCAAAACGTGCCTCCTTTTCTTTTATGTACACTCATCTTCTCTCATTTTGGATGTATTTAAAACATTTTGCGTACCTTTTCTCTATCACTTTCATCACAATTATCATTTTAGTTGTTAGGACGGATCCGTAGGCTACCGAAGTGCTGTTTATCTACTCATGTTGGATGGTACACCTCGCCTTTGTAGCTTATTTGACGATTACTTAACATAGCATTAGCTCATAGCGCAGAAATTTGAAATTGACGAGTCTTCGCGACTTTTGCCTTTCTTACTTTTTGGCGTTTCTGGTTATGAGTCAATAGCAATTCAAACAAAATTCAACGGCTTTGGGAGGTAACCGTTAGAGGTAGCACTGCGGTAAAAAAAATTTGTGGCATTTCTGTTGAGAGGAGGGCAGACCTCTCACAGGATTATGTAAAAGATTTTCAAGATTCCGCGTGGGTGACCGACATCGAAGAAACCAAAAAACGTGGGAGCAAAGAATGCATACAATAATAAGTCAACGTGTATCACTCTCAACGGTTCTATACTATAGGATACGTTGTGGTTAGCTGCCTGTGGAGCTAGAGTTGTTTTAGATAGGCTTTTTAATCCATGAGCTATTTGTATTCTCAAAGTAGATTCAAAGGTATTAAGCCTAAATAGCATAACCAGGGTCTATGTCAAAATTTAAATGCACTAAATAATAACTACACACTAATTAAATCACGCTTTAAACAGTAGCCTTAAAGAGAAAGTGTTATTTCCTAGAAGTGTGTCTAATATCAAAAAAATATACAAAAAGCGTATATTGTGATAGAATATTGTTGATTTCCGTGCAAATCAATGGTTAGAATTGTTAAGCTGTCTTCTAACTTTGCATCCTAATCTAATTGATCATAAGTTCGTATTATTATTATAACTATTCAACCAAAAATGTAAGTTTCTACCTGTACTGAGCAATTATACGTTTACTGGTGAAGTAAGTGTCCCACTTACTTCATGCATTTTATCGAAATTGACTACTTTACCTACTCGAGTTTTTGAATTCGCCATCCTCACCATTTCAAGTAGTAGTGTCGGCCATGCATTCAGCCCAGTGGCTAACTCTAACTTAAATCTACCTCCCATGTTTTTGTTGCTGTCATTTTTCATGACATAAGACTTTTTACCTTTTTGGATGAGACAGTAGAAAACATTCTCCCCTAGGCCCTGTCTTTGAGTTTCCATTATAAAGGGAGCACTCATGTTTAGGCTGGGTATGGATCTTCGTTAACCTGTTGAAGCAACAGTGTTTATTTTTCACATTTCACGTGAGTTGTGAGATATCTAGCTTGAAGCGCCCTGTGTGGGCAGAGCCACATGAAATGATGAGAGAAAATTTCACCAGCTTATCGATCCAGTCAGTTTCCACAATAGATGGCGATCTTCGACCATGTTAGGATAGGTGATGTCTAATCTATCCACATCCCCGAGCGACCTACACTCCGAAAATAAAATCATTTAACCTAAAGAATATGTGTAATGTCTCAGAAGTAATTCGCGAATGTCACCTTATATCAAAGTCTATGAAAGAAACGAAAATGGGATATCATCACCTAATGTAGGAATTTTGTGACTGAAGTGTCAAAATAGAACTGTGAGTTTCTTCCGTAGAAATTTAATTGAATTACTGCTTTTCATTGAGTGGTGCTGTTGGCGCGACTTCGGACTCTGTGTATGGTGGGGGAGGAGCCAACGGAGATGGCTGATAAGGCTGTGTGGGATAGGGTTGTGGCATCTGCTGCCCTGGTCCTTGTTGTGACGGATAGGGCTGCACGGGATAAGGCTGTGTAACCTGCTGTCCAGCCGCAGGCGGATACGGAGTCTTAAATCAAAGAATGAACAAGGAAATACACATTTACTGAAGTGTACAAGCACTTAACAGCCACACTACAACATCTTAGTGTGGATCTGATTAGGTTAAAAGTTGAAGTAGAGACAAGTACCCAATCACAGGGCTATGAGCAGTACATCGTCAGCTACACAGTTTCTGTGATGGAAGACGTGTGTATCAGAGCCGTTAGGGTCAGCAAAGTTGCCAACATCAACTCCTATGATCTATGCTTGCATTTCATTTTCAAGCATTAGGGTCAAATTTGAGGCCCTGATTGCTTATTTTCTACATCGGTGCTCGCTCTCCTTGAAAGCAACATGGGACAACTTTAATCAAAATTCAGACACAATTTATGTAAAGTAATCACTGTGAGCAATTGTTTTTGTTAATTCAACTTTTTTTAGCCACAAGCCCATGACGGGTCTCGTGCATTGCAATTATTGCCCGCATTATTTCAGTTTATATTACCATCTGCATTGAATGCAGAAATGTTTATAAAAGCACTGAAGATCTATTATTGAAAGGAGATCAACACAACTTACCGGCTGCTGCTGAGAATTTGTCGATTTAACGGCTTTTCGAACAAATTTCAGTTGGAAAACACAACAGAGGAAAACTAATCCGCAGATCAGCATGAATACCCCGAAGACGATGAGGGCGATACCAGCACTAAAGCGGCTAAACGAACCGTTAGAAAGGAGACTTAAGTTGCAGGAATTTATCTTCTATGGTAAAATCGCTTTAGCAGAAAGATTGCGTAGATTTTACTGCCAGATACTTGAAACTGAGGTGAAAATGTGTGGTTTGGACGCAAACAAATGTTCGATTGTCAAAAATCATTTTTTTTCTAAGACTTGATTTTCAAGTTAATTATTTTCCTAGCTAGCGTAGGGGAGTTAAGTATTATATTTGCGGTCGGTAGTCCAAGTATCTAATAACCGGTCCCTGAAAAGTTATCCCTTCGAATTTCAACCCAGTTGTTGGACCTCTATTTCCGATTCCTACTTTTGTAAGCTGGAATATGCGCCACTCGATACTCTTTCCTCCTGGGACCAATCAGATTTTAATTCCACATTAATGACCTTGACTTTGTGAGTTTCAGTTGCTGGATCAAGGTTCCCTCCTGACCAGGCACACCAAATAACTGATTTGTCACGCTTGTGTGCCACCCGTGTGGAGGGTGCTTTAGCAGGACTATACTGTTCTGCAATGTCTGCAACTATGCATGCACACTAGCTCAACAATACAGGAATGCGGCTAACTGTTGAGTCAGTGGTCGAAGCTTGTGGAACCAAACAAAATCCACCAAGTGACTACCTTTTCGATATCATTCGTCGGCATGAATTACGTAAATGCAATCCTCAAGCCGATCATCATGCACGTCTCAAAATAACTTCTTTAAGACGCTGATCAATGGCTGTTGATATACGTTTGGATGTAAAATACGCATACTGTTTCAGTGAGCCCTGAACTCACCTCTGTCTTTCGGAGAAATCGTCAAAATCTTCTTTATCAAAATCCCAAGAACCCGAATTTGAAGACACCAGCACTGCGCCTGCAATGATGAAGCCGACCGCAATGAATAGAAGACACGAACTGGCGACTTTGCAACAAATGATGTGGGCTCCAACCCAATCTCCGACTACCTCTCGACTTCGACTCATCGTTGGCCTAGCCTAAAGTGGATAGAAGCAATCTACAATTTGACTCCCTTTTACAACTTTGTATTTGCTTCGCCAATCTCTATCTTTATCTAAAACTGCTTCCTTGCAACCGCTTCATACATTCCAGCGAATCCATTCTAGTTAACAGTTTATTTTAAGATTTATACTAAACACAAATTTACTTTAAGTTAATTTAAATAACAGACTTCTAAAACTGATTAACCTCATATCCTCTACAAGCATAACTACCATTCCCACAGCCCATAGTTGCAAATTATAGTTTTAAGGAAAACCTCTGAAAATACATTAACACACCCGAATTGAGTAGCAGCGTTAGAATAGCGGGACACACAATACGTCCAGGAACTCAGTCGTTTTAGACTGTCGCAAACCCTTAATGCAAGATTGTTTATCAGAGAGCCCATGAATTGTGCGCTTATTAGATGAAGGTCTGTGTTCGAATTCAAAACGTCCCACACCTGAACTTAGTGCAAAACTAGCTGGACATTGTTATTTCTTGACTGTTACGGCTTTTTTCGCGAGAGCTATTGACCTTTGACACTAAGTGTTTTCATACTAGCTCACCATCGCTAATGGGGACGTGTTTGAGCGTGTACTTGTGTAGCTATCTACCGATCGCAGTTGGCACGTATTGAATGCACTTAAGCATCCGCTGGCTGGCCAAATGTATTATAAAACCAGTGCTCCGAACTTTGAGTGATCTATAGCGTCATTCACATATTAGAATACTTTAAGGAATCATCATCATTAGTAGTAGTAGTAGTGGTGGTGGTAGCAGTAGTCAACAGCCACACACAATGTCCAGATAGTCTAAAAATTAAACCTTTTGGGAGTACCGTTTCCTCATCTTCCATCAAACAGCTCCAATTTGACTATGACTAAATTCAGGGAGTACTGCAGCAAGTTTTATGGCGTTTTGAATAATCAAACTTTAAAACACGCTCGGATGTACCGTATTTACAGGTAATGACTTCCAGTGCCACTCATCTTTAAATCCCCACGGCTTCACATAGTAAACATCTCTCGGATCGTACTTTTTATTTTGCTTGCTCTTAACTTGAAAGTCGGGGTTCTGGGGAAGCACAAGTGGTTGACAAATGAAAACGCACGGTTTCAGGTTTTTTAAAATACATTGATATCCATACATCAATTCAGTTTACTTTTCACAATGTTTTAGCCCGCTTGTTTAAGGCATAATTAAAAATACTGGGATACAAATTACGTCATTTCCAAAGCAAAAATAAGTCAGAGGTACTTACTGTGTGTTAGACTTTCTTCAATGGTCAAGGGGTTTTGTGGAAGGAGCTTTGAATGAGGCGGCTAGAAACTTCGTTTGACTGCTACAAATCCTTAATTTGTCTGAATCCTATGTGAGGAAACAACAGAGCAATAAAGTAAAGGGAGTCACGCTCCAACACCTATGCACCAACTCACTAAATATGTCGACAAGCGTTATTTAGTAACAATATATACCAGTTAACTAACTGTTGTAGTAGAGCGATAGTGTTGCGATATCGGGTGTGACAGAGTTGGTGCTCAACCATTGGCTAATTGCAGACACTGAGAGCGCTAGGCTTATGTGGGTGCTTCATGCGCTTAGTTACTCAGGGCTAGTGCTCCAGAACTCAAAATTCCAATCCTCTCACGAGTTGTTCTTCTATTGGCAAGAACTGATTGGAAACCAGAAAGAACAAACTGTATAAAACCCCTGATTATCTAATGTAATCTAACCAGGTGTAATCGCGTCCTTATTCCCTTCGGTTTCCTCCGACAATTTGGACTGGAATTCGCCACTGCAAAAATGTTAGCGAGGTATTTTCGACGCGCAGGAAAGCAACCAATCAGAAAATTACCTTGGAAGCACTAGTATTAAATCAATGGCCATGTAGAAGCTACAGAAGCGCAATATGCAGAGTATTTTGATGTGAATGTCTTGCAGCCCAATTTATTTGCGGTATTCACAGCCTCGGGGAAGTTTGATGAAAAAGCAAAAAGTGGTCGCTTTGTAATAATTAAAAGCCCCTACGATACCTAGTAGATCAGGCTGTTAGGCCAAATGGTGACAATTGAGTGGGTGGTAAATACTTTTTACATGAGTGGGTGTGAACGAGTGATCTTAAGACGATGGAGGTCTCAACAGTGAACCTCCGCTGCGTGTGGATGGTCAGCACCTCAAGTGCCCGATAATTTTAATATTTTCTATTTGATTAGCCTTTTGATTTCTTCGTCTTTTGAAAGGCATAAGATGAGCTGGAGAAATTGCGGTGAAGTAAGAATATATTCATAATTTTAGGTACAGGGGCTAATGTGCAGGGCTTATAACTGAACAATGTAGGCTGGGAGTTGAATTTCATACTACAAATTAGTTCTCAAATCACAAAAACGCATTTAGACTAATAACCTTTCTGACGGAATAATATGAATACTGAACGCAAACAAATTAACCTTCGTATCTCATAGGTGTAATATGAGGTCAGAGTGAAAGTTTGGTAGCATCTGAAAGTCCGCCACCGCAAACTAGACAATCCAGCACTAGTATGGCCACCCAAACCAATAAATAGTAATTTATTTAAGCAATTTTCTTTAAAAAAACATCTGGATTTATTTACTTCTTGCATCACCTAGGTTAGAAGAAAACACACAAAAGAACTCTACGAGCTACCTGCTTAAACTTCTATGTTGCTGAACCGGTATACAAATAGGGGTGGATGCCAACAAACCGCTGAAAGGGGAGTCATTCGAAATTAATTTCCTGTGACTTTTCTTCCTGAATCGTTAAAGTGGGCACGAACGACGCAAAAATATTTCCGAAATCGTCAAAACCCAATCAGTTTTCATAAATCATGACACACGTTTTGCTACTTAATCAGTTTTACCATGAAATGGCAACAAGTGTTTTTTTAACGTTAATATAGGATCTGTAATTTTCCCTTGGGCCGATGAGTTTGTTTAAAAATCATGAAAATCTAAATAGTGATTTTAAAATCATTGTAAAATTGTTAGCCTGACGTCAACGCCTCTTTGATTTCATGCAAAGAAGGTAATTCATTTGTCACTGACCTCACTCACTCCCCATTTATCCCTACTTGTCATTTGGCAACCCCCCCCGCCCTTTATCCTTTCTTGTGAATCCACACCGAATTCAGACGCTAGTCTCGGACGAAAAGGTAGACTGACACAAAGTATGACAACAATAACGGGTATATTTTCTAAATCCTAGGTTTTTTCCTTTGGCTTCTGTCACTGCCACCTCTTCATCACCACCACTACTTATAACCTCAAGATGCCTGATTTGGCAAGGTGAAGCACCAGTTGTTGTCGCTTTCAGAGGCCTATGTGGAATCGTGCAAAGGAGGCGTTAATGAATTATGGTTAGTACAAAGCGTCCCTTATGCGTCAACCAAAAGCAGTATAGGAAAGTGACATAGCTTTCACGTGGGAGTGACCATTCGAAACCCCTCATGTTACACCTGGTCACTCTATTTTCCTTAGCATCAATATGACCAAATTGTGTAGTCTCAAAGGCTACATTGACTACGATGAATCCAAGACAGGCGTCTCTAACCCGCTTCATATAATCCAATGCACCACGTCGAAGTGTTTCTGCCTAAATTTTTCCTCTGAACCTATCCTCAGTGCTGCTCCCTTTCAAGGTTTTGTTAAAACATAAAATTTTGATTTAACAAACAATCAAAATTAAAATGCAGACAACATTGGGACCAGCAGTAAGAAAAAATTCTTTGCATTTCCACTGAGCGACAATTATGGGGGGAAAGGGGACTGAATAAGATCACAATGTAAATGAGAGTGTCCAAAACAGGCTTGCACGACAGAACGACACAATCATTGTTTTTCAGGCAGGTCGTTGTTGAGAGGTTGTGGTGCCGTAGGCATTGACGTGGCTTCCAAGTAGGAAGGAGGCTGAACATTTTGTGTATTTGGAGGGTACGGGGCCACAAATGTAGGTTGCTGAGGTTGAGAAGGCTGTTGAGGTCGTGGGGGCTGAGGTTTAGTCCCGCTTTCCAATCCACGGTCCCGTTGCTGAAATGGCAGTACGCTTAATTAATAACACATGATTAGCGTGGGCCTAGATAATATATTAGGAACTTCTTAATCGGCAAGAGAGTCACATAGGTTAAAGCTGCAACCAGTCGTTCTGGGTTAACGCCTCATGTCAGGCATTCGCTAACTTGACGCTCTGTTCCTTCTCGTGGTCCTTTTAACCAAGTTCAAGAAGTGGTGTGCAACGCGGATCACGGAAAGTACCCGAGTCAGCCAGACACGAGGACGTAATCACCAGGCTCTCTGTTGTATAGATACCCCACTCAATTTTTCAGATTACTGGTACCGATAATAATGCCTATCAATCAACAATTGAAAAATGGCTTATTGGCTCATCACGACTCTAATGGGGGCGCGTTTTACTACCGAGTGTGGACATCACTTCCCACTCAGGTGTCCCATATCAACTAGTTCACTGTGCCGCAGCAGCGACTGCAGTTTCACTTGTCTCATTCTACCTGACACACCCTTCGCCGCCACCTACACGCTAGACACCACGCGGGTGACAGGTGGAGCTAATACCATGCTTATGTTTTGACAAGATTCGATTTTAATTGGCTAACGGCTTAACGCTGGTTATATGTGCATTGTTCGCTTAATCAACTAACCTCAACCAGCGTCACGAATGCGTCTCAATACCTGTTTTTAAAGGGCAGCTAATCTATTATATTCAGGCTTGGAAATTCAATTTAGTGGAGCATTCACTGTTCCTCACTGCAACTGCTAGAATTGTTACCTAAAATTCCGTGTTCATTTCTATTCTTAAGGTTACAGATGCTGCGCTGGAAACCTCTTGCCAATTTAACATAAAAGTATGATTTCAGCAACAGTTCTAGGACTCGAGCAGAATTTCCAGGCTACTTCATTGTGCATATTCCAAAGGCAGGTGTTTTCAACGCTCGAATTCACGGACATGA